ATATCTCATTTTGAAGGGTAAGAATATTACTAAATGATGCAAATAGCACAAAAGACCCAAAAAATTGGTTGCGTCCTGTACATAACCTCTAAAGTAGCATAAAAACGCATTTTTCGAGTATATATCCCCTAATATCTCAAAATCCTGACGTGATGGGCCAATTCTGGTTTCAGATTCGGATTCTACGCAGAAAATTACTTCGGAAATGACCCACAGCTTCCCGACAACATCCAAGACCCCCTTTTTTGTAGACCTGTGTAATCAGAATAGATATATTTTAAATACATTCGAATATTAATATAATCTTATTTTATTATAAATATTATAATATTCTAGGTGAAAAGTTATTAAATAACAATATATCTTGTTGCATAGAGGGATGTCCAAGTGTGTGACGTCACATTACCCATGGACACCCTTGTCCGGATGAAAAATTTTCATTCTGAACGCACCCCAGGGAGCTTATTACGGTTTTTGTGACGGGAAGTGAAAATTACAAAAATGATCAAATTCACTAGAAGTTAACCAATGAAGTTATAAATATTCTAGTAAATTCAATCGCTTTTGTAATTTTTACTTCGTCACAAGGAACCATAATAAGCCCCAAGGAGCTAATAGTCGGACCAATCATGTACGTCGGACCAATCATGTATGTCGGACCAATCACAAATCGGGAAGAAAGTGGCCAAACGTGATTAGAGAGTCTCAAAAGCAGTCTCCAGCAGTCTCTAGCTTAGCGTTGACGTAACGAGCCCTTGAGTACCACGTGTAAAATTTAGGAAAGTCTATATTTTTACAATAAGATTTTGCAAACCGACTTTATCGCAATTTTAAAACATGTCAGATCTATTTGACAACGGCTCCTATTCTGACAAGGACAATAAAGGAATCGATCCCGAATTAGAGGAGCTTCTAATGGTCGAGAAGCAAAAAGCACAATTCACTGCACAGGTGAGACATTTTAGCAGATAAACTTTTATTAAATTGAATCTAAACTGCTTTCTCAAATTATTTCAATATTATTTCACGCATAGAATGCGTTCCGTTTTGCGCTTACAAGCATCATTTGTCCTTGTTTAATATTTGATAGACAACAAGAATGAACTGATATTACAGCATGTAGGCATAAAAACGGAACGCACTCATATTCTTGAGAAATGTTTGCCAATCTACGTAGAAAAAAAATTTTTGTTTATTTGTAAAAGTTTCATGAGTTTTTAAATTTGCTTAGATTCACGAGTTCAACGATTTTTGTTGGGACAAATGCGTTGATAAGCCAGGAAGTAAATTGGATGGCCGTACAGAAACGTGCATAAACAATTGCGTCGATAGATTTATAGACGTTTCCCTCTTTGTTACAAATCGTTTTGCACAGTTAATACAAAACTCTATAGGAAAGTAAAATTTTCAGAGTATACCGTTAAGGTATATTATTTTTATATCTATATAATGAATTATATTGTAATAGAAGATTTATAATCATGGATATTAAATCTCAATATTACATTTTTAATTTAATATTTATGAATGTACAATAAAATTATATATTACAACAATAAGAAAATACTTTTCAATACTACATCCCCAATAAATATTCACTCATTAGAAGTTCATTACAAGCATCTTAATTAAATTTATTATTTCGAAATAAAAGTATGTTGATATATATAAATTGTTTTCATTCTCTGTTGTGGCATATATTGCACAAGTAAAATAAAAATATTATAAACATTGCAGTGATGCAATACATTGCAAAAATTATTCTATACATATACATATGTGCATTTATAATGCGTGAATATATAACAGAGAATTTTATTTTGATTATATTTAGAAAATTAAATTCTGTACAATGCAATGTATTTAATATCAGAAGGCTGTAGGTCTTTGTGGAAGGCACATATTGTAAAATGAATCCTTTTTCCAAAAATCTTTTGTTTTCCAGCCACACCAACCCTTATTTATTATGGTAGGCAAGTGTTCTCCGCCTGTATAGTGTGGATCTAAAATCAAGAATTTTCCCTCTCCAGAATGTTCATGGTAACTAACTCCTAGAATTGTATGAGCTAATAGTCCTCCACCTATAAAATAAAAAAAAAACAGAAAGTTAATATTTAATATTTCAATATTTTAGATATCTAATTTTAATTGTTGGTAGAATATGAAGAAATTAAAGAACAATTAAAACTTACCAATCATAACAGGTGTACCCTGTATATCAAAATGATTTGCAAGTTGTGGAATTAAGGCTAACATCTCTTCTCCACTTGATGCACGAAGTATCTTGACATCTGTATTAAGGAGAGTCTGCAGTACAAAACTTACTTCAGTTGAACCAATCCATTGTTTACTACCAAGAAAGTCGAAAGACTTATCGCCTATATCAATTAAACATTGTTGTATTTTGCGATGAGATGGTATTGGTACTTCACTATAACCCTGTAATCTATAGCAGATTGCAATTTATTCATGTGTACATATACTGCAGTACACAATATTTCAACATTGCATGCATAATCTCTGGTTATCTTTGATCTTTTAATACCTGTACCACGAAATGATGGTTTGGAGAGATCTATAAGCACATCCCCATCCATTATCATCAAAATTATCTTGCATATAGTGGTGATATGAATACAAACCATCCACAATACTGATTTTTCCTGTAATACCTGATTAAGACAATAAAATATTACAATAATTGATAAACAAACATTGATAAATTTGGGAGTATATAAATGAACCTTTACTTAAAATACCTTTATTTAAAAGAGCCTGATGAGGATTTACAAGTATCTCATTTGCCTGTGTGTCAAATTTGATGGCATTTCCTTGTCGAAAATGGGGTCTAGTCAAATCTAATGCTAAAGCCTTGTGTAAAGCCTTACGATATTCCACTGAAATTATATGACTGGTCTGTATAAAAGCAAATAGATGACACATATATTACTATGATAACAAATTCGGTAATGTTAATTATGTAATGACGATACAGGATATATGAATGATACAATAGTAATAGAATTTATTGCATGATTAACAATAAATAAATCAAGTAATAAACAATAAGTAATCAAGGTACAAGATCTTACTTGTAGTATCATTAGTAGAATTGCCAGGATATACTACTGTAAATAAATGTCCACAACTCTGAGGTTTAAAATGCATGATTTCAGATAGTTGTGTAACTTCAGACTGATTTTCTTGTTGCATTTCAATTAATCTAATATTTCGGCAAGTGGATTCCACTAAAATCGCGTGTAATTCAGCTGATTTTACATTCAAATTCACCAATGATAATGCATTGATGTGTAAATTGCATTCTGAACTATTGAAGGATTCTACAACATAACAAACATAATATATGATAAATTAGAAACATTATTGATTCAATGAAATAAAATACTTTTCTGTAGTACTCACTTTTTATGTATTGCAAAACAGGAGCATATTTAACAGATTCTTCAGAATTTTTCTCGCTTGACATCTTTAATAACATGTTTGCATGTATAATTTTCTGAAAATTAACAAAATATATAAAAATACTCGGATATAATTTCTGTATAAAGTAGTATATATGAATTTTAGCTAAAGGCACATACCACAGGCCCAGTATTATAATTTACATTACTTGATCCAGTTGAAAATTTCTCCTGGTCTTCGGACAAAGATAAAATATCTTTTAACATTATATCTTTTAAATTGTCATCAGTTCTGAAGAGGTATACATCGTTCAAAGGAAAATGTATTCCTATTTTTCCAGATGCAATCTACAGTGCAAAATTATATGATACATATACAGCATATACAAGACAAAATATGTGACGTAAAAATGTCGATCAAAAGGGAAATCTCACATTTTTTCGTGACTCCTGCAAAGCTTCCGATACATTCCCATCCTGAGCAATCAATGGTAGAGTCGCTTGTAATCTAATATATACAAATTGTCGAGAAAGATCATCTTCGCTAATAATACTAAGATTATTTATAGCTTCTAGTTTTTGATGGACATAAAAATATGCTTGTATATCCAACGTATTGCGTGAATATTTTAAAAGTAATGGATTATCTGTAATATCAATATCCTAAACAAACAAATGCAATGTAAGAATGAATGGAATAAGATAGATAGATAAATAACAAATATATAATTTGTAATTACCTTGAAAATATCAGTATTTATTTCTTCACATTCACCAATATGTAATATGCCACAGAAATATATATCTGCAGGTAAATTCAACTGCAGTGCTGTATAATCTGTTAGGTTGTTATCTTCACTATTACACGAACTTATACTGAATGTTAGAACTATAAGAGTATCGTTGTACATAATACCATAAAGATAGCCAGTCGTTGCGGTTTCTAGGTTTTCTAATCGCTAAAAATATTATTTTATTTAAATACTAAATATATACATTGGCATTACTAAATATATCTCATTTGTTAAATAAATAGAAACGTAGCACTTGTCTTAAATAATAAATTTAAAATAAAAAGGATATATCCGCAAAATGCTGTTCCTTGCAAGAAATATATTACAAGTGATCATAAAAACTTGAGAAAAAAATATGAAAAAAAATATATATTATGTTTTCGTATCATTATTGATGCAAATGTGCTCGACTACATTTACCTGCAGAATGTTGGACAAAATCTGCAATTGCGGTGCCATCGTGTCGTGTTGAAATAAAAAAATCTTACACAATCAAAGATACTTCGTGCTGCCAACAATCACCATATGGCGATAACGGGAAATCACAATTGAATTGAATTTTCGAACACGAGCCACCTAGATTGGGAGGTTAAATTCGTCCTCGTTGCTAAATCTCGAAGTAAACGCATAGCAAACTGCTCGATCGGCCTAAATCAAATGCTAGTACTTATTACACTTGTCGAGGATAAGGGCATAAGGGAACACACTCTCCTTTATATTCGAATTTACATTTTCAATCCACCTGCGAAAATTCTGTTCGTGCCAACGACGCATTTGAGTACCTGATCTGACCTAATTCGAAATGATTTTATGTACGATTCAGTGGAAAGTCGTTTCATGCAGATATATTTTTAGGAATGATAGGAAAGAAACATCTCCCTTTTTTAACGACAAAAATATGATAGGTCACATAAAGCAATTTACATATCAATAAAAAATGCAGAAACACTTGTTGTGTAAAGGACTGTTTTCACATTTGAAAATGGCTACTTGAGCAACTTCCAGATCGAACGCGTCGCTGACGTCGCTGTGTTTTATGATATTTTATTTATGATATTCATAGCTATTGGTTAAAAAAAGAACTCCGAAAATTCGTTCAGGATTGACGGTCTTTAATAGTATCTCGTCCGTGCCAATAGCAACGTATTGCTGCCGCAGCGTGCTGCATATGAAAAGTCAGCATTAAGTCTTAAACACAATAGACACAGGCAATAGGCACAGGCAACAGGGAATAACGAGCAGTCCCCCCAATCACAGCTCTGGGGTATAATATCGAACTTATACTCCAGAGCTCTGATTGGACGGCTCGTTATTCCCTGTTGCCTGTGTCTATTGTGTTTCCAGCTTAATTCTGTTGCCTGTTCCCTATTCCTAGAGACACTATAATAATGCGGGGTCTACGATAGAAGTCGTAGCAGTCGTAGGGTCTTAAGTCGTAGAAAATTGACCAATCACAGTCGAATATGAGAAGAATAATCAACTGTGATTGGTCAATTTTCTACGACTTAAGACCTTGCGACCGCTACGACTTCTATTGTAGACCCCGCATAAGAGACTGGCATAGATGGGCTAATTTTTGATTGGCTGAATATGGAAT